CCAGGCCCTTGGACTCCCCCACTGTGAGGTGTCTCTAGCATGCCAGTGCGACACCCCGGGCTGCGGCTGCCAGGCCTCAGGATGGGGGGCCGGTGCCGGGGGAGCTGGGGCGCAGAGGGTGGGCGGGAACTCCAGCCCCGGCGCGGGCGGGGGGCCGCAGACGGGCTGCTCTGCAGGCACCACGCACCTGTACTGGGGCCTCCCATCCCGCCCTGCAGGGGCTCCCAGCGCTCCCCGCGGGAGGGTGCGGAGCAGGTGGGGTGGGCGGGGCCTGGAGAGCAGCGGGGCTGAGCCCGCTCCTCTCCACATTGTTCTTGAGCTGGAGCTTGACCAGCGGTGACAGTGAGCGCCCTCCTGCGGTCGTCTGGGCCACCAGTTCTCACAGATGGTCACTGAGTGACCGAAGGGCAGGGAGCCCGCAGAGGTGGAGACTCTGGACTGAGGATGAGTCGCCTTCTAGGGGTCGGGGGTGTGGCTCCAGATTGCACTGCCCTACTCGGATGGCTGCAAATTTAAAACTTATGAATTGTTTATTTCTGGAACGTTCCATTTAATATTCTTGGACCACGGCTGACCACAGGTAACTGGAACCCGGGAAGAGGGGGAGACACACTCGCGACCGCACAGTCTGGGCAGCTAAAGCACCCTGGGACTCCAGCTTCTTGATGAGGCGACATCATCCTTCCCCAGAACCACAGACCCACTTAACAAGCCATATGTCTAACACCGGACGTGAACAGAAGCAAGCCTGAGCCCTGTCAGGATTTACGATGCTACCTGTATTTCTATGAGTAATTTGGTTATTCCAAAAACGAACGGCCCTGCCATGAGAAACTCTTACTGTCACTGAGATTTCACTTAATTTAAACTTAAAATGAAATGCAGTTTATAAAACTAATGTCTTGAAAATGGCACCTTTTTTAGCCACTAAAGTCCAGGTATTAATTCAAAAATGTGATTTTAATAGACTAACATTATTTTGTTTACAGCTACAGATTTTCAGGCAAGATTTAGACAAGATTTCCAACTTAGTTGCTAGACCAAACACATTTAAACAAATACCAGGCAAAACACATCCAACAGTGCTCAGGGGACAAATGCAGACCTGCGTCCTCATCCTGGGCGGGCTGGGGACTGCATGACAGGCCTGTCCCCCACTGGCTTCCCACTAGATCCGGCCAGTGGAGGCAGGAGATGGGAGGCTGGGCGTCGTCCCCCTGGGTCCCTCTAGGCTGAGCCGCAGGTTGGAACACAGCCCCGTGCGTGCACCCTCACTCACATGTGGTCCCCACCTCTCCAGCATGACAAATCCTGCCCCCAAATCTGAACATCTTCCGGTTTCCTCTAGACGGTTCAGCCTCACTGCCTTTGGGCGACCTCTTCAGATCACCCGCCCTCCCCCGCACTTTCTGTGTGACCGGCCGTGTCCTGCATCACACTCGTTCTTGTGTTAGCCTCTGTTTCGTGTCTTTCGTCTGATTTCACTAAAGAGAGTTCTTCGAGGGCAAAAATTATGTGACAGGCAGCTGGCTTCTCTGGACCCTAGAAGAGACCCTCCGACCTGAGCAGGCCACCGAGACAGTATGACGAATGGCTGGAGGAAGGGGGTCTCCCTGGCACGAACTGCCTGTGAACTCAAGTACTGCAGCTCAATCTCACACTTGTTTTTTGGTTAATCCCTCTAAAAAATTTGGCCCATGTGATACATGATTTATTTTTCTAGGACTACTTCTTCTTTTTGACCCCAACTAAAATGATTTTTATTCAACTTGAGTTAAATTCAGTGTCCACTGATAGTCACGTGGGACAATGAGCTGGTAAAATTTCAACAAAAGTCAGACGTTAGCTAAGAGGTCCCGGTTGAGACTTTTTACATGAACAGAGACACTGCAGCACGAGCGTGTCCACACACAAGCTGACCGAAGTTAAAAGAAATCACCTCGTAGCCAAGTAAGTGTCCATTGCTCAGCTTCCAAGGGACGGCGCCCCAGGACACCCTGATCTCCGAGGCGGACAGGCTCCTTGCTGAGACTCGAGATGGAGCTGCTGTCGGCTCTGTTTGGGAATGAAAGGGAAACGAATTAGAACTTTAGGAGTTAATTAAAAATTACTGAAGTTCTTATTTTTTAAAAAAGCATGGCAACATACTTGGATATTTACAGAATAGCCTACGAAGATATTTGAAAGCAGAAGCCACGTCATGAAACAGAGACACTGGTCGGCCTCCACGTCATAGGACAGTCGGGTCAGAGCCACACGCTCCCTGCTCCAGTCTCCAATCCTGCACGTCCTTCCTGGACCTCAGCCTTCTTCCCTCCTTCCCTTCGCTCTCTCTACCAAACAGTCACTCTTTCTCTCCCTTTACCCCACAGCTCCTGCTGGGGGGCTCTGTGCCCACAAATACTGCTGCTTCTGCTTCTCCTTCATCACCATCCCCAGCATCCCCAGCATCCCCAGCAACACCACCATCATCACCACCATCATCACCACCATCATCACCATACCCATAATCACCATCAGCACCAGCATCATCACCATCCCCAGCATCAGCATCACCATCACCACCATCACCATCACCACCATCACCATAATCACCATCCCCAGCATCATCACCATCACCATCACCATCGCCATAATCACCACCATCACCATTACCATCATCACCACCATCCCCAGCATCCCCAGCACCACCACCAGCATCATCAGCATCACCATCACCATCACCAGCATCATCACCATCACCACCATCACCATAATCACCACCATCACCATCCCCAGCATCATCACCAGCATCATCACTATCACCATAATCACCACCATCACCATCACCAGCATCATCATCCTCATCACCACCATTACCACCATCATCACCATCATCACCACCATCCCCAGCATCAGCATCACCATCATCACCACCATCAGCACCATCATCACCATCATCACCACCATCAGCACCATCACCATAATCACCACCATCTCCAGCATCATCATCACCACCACCAGCATCATCACCATCACCATAATCACCATCATCATCACCATCACCATCATCCTCATCACCACCATCACCACCATCACCACCATCATCACCATCATCACCACCATCCTCAGCATCAGCATCAGCATCACCACCATCAGCATCAGCATCATCACCATCATCATCATCATCACCATCATCACCACCATCACCATAATCACCACCATCCCCAGCATCCCCAGCATCACCATCACCATCACCAGCATCATCACCATCACCACCATCACCATAATCACCACCATCACCATCACCAGCACCACCATCACTAATCACCATCATCCTCATCACTATCATCACCATCACCATCCTCAGCATCAGCATCAGCATCAGCACTATCACCATCATCACCATCATCACCATCACCACCATCACCACCATTCCCAGCATCACCAGCATCATCACCATCACCATCACCATCACCACCATCACCATCATCACCATCACCAGCATCACCACCATCACCATCACCACCATCACCATAATCACCACCAGTCTTGTCAAACAAAGGTCAAAGCCACCATCACCATCATCATCACCATAATCACCATCACCACCATCACCAGTCTTGTCAAACAAAGGTCAAAGCCGTTTGTTCAGTAAGTGTTTAGTGAGCCCCTTCTCTTTGGAAGGTGTGGACAGATGTGCGCAGAGCTCATCACATATTAAGAGGTCCCCTTGGTAACGGATGGCTCTGAGGGCTCCGCGGGCCCTCTCCCAGCCCACACACAGATCTGAGCAGGGACTGCCACCCCAGAATCTATTTCTTCATTACACAGTCCTGCTCCCCAGCTGGGCTGACTGATGCTGAGATGGATTCTTGACCCAAATGTGGGCCTCCTATATTTTCTTGCCTGAGAAATCTTAACTCGGTTTGGGGAAACCAGGGGTACGTGGGACTGAAGGCCCGGTGCTGGCGCTCCGGGGAGGCAGGCAGTTTGGGGGCACACAGCGCCCCTGAGGCCCCTCCTTCCTCCACCAGGGGTGCTGCTCAACTCCCCCCGATTCGGCGTGAGGCCCAGGCAGCCCTCACCGTTTTCAGAGTTGAATACATTCCTGACATTTGGAACAGAAGGACCTTTAACCAACTCATCAGTGGTGGTACCGGGGGAGGCAGGGGCAGGAGGCAGGCTACGCCCCTCCCCACTGCCCCCCACCAGCCCGGGGAGCTCCCCACTCCAGGGCCATCCTCCCCAGGCCCCTGACCTGCCCTCGAAATGACATCCCCGCATGCTTGGAAACGGGGTCTGGCTGTGACTATCAAAACGTTTTCTTCTGCAGAGGTTTTTATGTCACCTGTCGGTTCACAATACCCGTTTGTTCTTCTACGCAGTAGAAAAAGAGAGGCTAAGCACAGGGGTGGGGTGCTGAGAAAGACCGAGTCTGCCTCCTGCTTAAGGAATGACCGCCGGGGACCGAGTGGACGCCGGGCAGCTTTACTTCACGCGCTCAGAGTGGTTGCGACCCAAGGCCCTGGCTCAAAACACTAGCTCGGGCGTCCGGGTGGATGTTGGCAAGTTTGCTCATCTCTTTCATCTTCTCGCGTGTCAATGGGAACCGCGTGCCACTCCTCCTCGGGAAATTCTCCACGCAGCACCCGGCCGATGGTGCGCGTTCGGTCCCCGTGAGCCCAGTCACACTCACCAGGGCACCCGCGGGTGGGGACTTCACACGACTGTCTAACGCTACCACGGTTTTCTAAAGAGGCGATCTCTGGGGCAGGAGTAAAAGCGAGGCAGAGACGGGGTGGGGCAGAGTGGGGTTCGCGGGGTCTCCACCCGCTGGAATGGGGGGCGGAGCCTCGGGCCTGCAGCGTCCACCCTGCAGCGTCACACTGGGGGCCCCTCTCCCTCACCAGCCGCAGGACAACTACAAAACCCGAGGCTAGGGCGCTTCCGAGGGAACATCTCCACCTTACCCCCAAAAGAAAGCCGTGAGGGCGGGCGCCTAACGAATGGACTTCTAGCTGACCACCCCTGTGACCACCCACCGGGCCCCACACCCCACATGGGCACAGCTGCTGTTTGCTTCTGCACTGGAGACCTCGGCTGACTTCAGTCACTGGAGGGGACACACCCAGAGTCGCGAAGGACCCCCCAGATCAGCGCCCGAGCCCAGCGGCCCATCGGCGGGGCTGAGCTGTCGCTGGCCGTACCTTCCTCTGCAGAGAACACGGTGGTCACCGGGCTGAAGGGCCCTTCGCCTCTGTTGTTGTAAACGCCCACTTTAACCTCGTATAGAGAGAACGGCACGATGCTCTCGTTCTTGAAGACGTATCTCGGGGTGTCGGCCGACGTGACCACCGTCTGAATCCAGTCGGTGACTCCGAGGGGCCGGAACGCGACGACGTAGCCGAAGCCCTCACCGCTCTGCAGCTCCTCAGGCACCGGCTGCAGAGGGGAGGCCTGTCAGCGCCCGCCCGGGGGGACGAGGCCACACTGCAGAGCCGCCGCCCTCCGTCCTGTCAGCACCTGCCTGGGGGGACGAGGCCACGCCGCAGAGCCGCCAGATAACCCTGGCGTCCTACTAAGCGGCGACACGAAATCAGAAAATGTGCAGTGGGACAGTCGGCTGCTTTAGGTGGGCGCGGAGCGCGCCTCGAAGCACAGCCGTGCAGGTGGCTGATGGAAACCCTCTAGAGTAACTCGGATTTCTCAGCATCTCACAGCCCCAATGTGAGTTCCGAATCATAATGAGAAGGTGAATGAACCTCATCTCTTAAGCCCAATAAAAAACACCTAATTCCTAATGCTGACTTTGTGGATCTAATAATTAAATACAAAGAAGTAAAACTGAAAAAAAAAAAGCATTAGAAACGATGTAATAAAGCTCGCAGCTGTTTGTTTTGTCAAAAACCGCAACTGACATCTCATCACGACCCCCTAACCCTCTCCACCAACACCTTCAAATAATACACATAATTCCAGCGCCTTCTGACTCTAAATGTGTTAATTAAAATTTTTCCTAATTATGACATAAAGCTACAGCTGGGAGAATGGCCAGGAAGCCAGCACCTGCTGGCATCAGCAGGCGTGCGTCACCGCCAGGTGCGAGGGCCGCCCCAGAGCAAACAGCCAGGACCGGACCCTTCCCTGTGGTGTCAGCCCGATGACCTCGGGCAAGTTACCTAGTGTCGGCCTTCCTGTTCTCTTCTATAAAATGCTGCCAAAGGAAATTTAAAATAAAATCTGCCAAAGGCTGGGAACAGTGACGATGTGCGGAGAGAACCCACACGCGTCAGTGGCCAGACACTCACGTCCCAGGTGATCACCAGCTCGGACCGGCTTCCGCCGCCTCCGCTCACTTCCGAAGGCGCCACCTCGGGAGCTGTGTGGGTCAAAGAGACGTCGGTGAACCCGCAGGCGCTTGGGGGCGTCCGGAAGATTCGGCGCTGCTTACTCGTCATATGCGAGGTCCGGTGACCACCGCACGCTGCATGCACGTGGACGTGTGTTCACATGTGCGACGCAGACACGCACGCACACGGCTGACCCTGAGCAGCACAGGCTGAGCTGTGTGTGTCCACCGGTAGGCAGAGGGCCCCCTGTGTGCTGACCCGCGGGGTCCACAGGGGGACTGGGCAGCCGCGTGGCCGGGCGTCACGGGGGACCTGGCACTGGCCCCCGTGGACACAGAGACACACCTTAGCTTTTAGTGAGTCAGAAGTCACACACCACTGTCAACTCTTCGGTTCAAGGGTCAACAGTAGGTATTTGGGGGAGATCATTCAAAAATTTATGTCTGCATGAAATTACCAAAGCTTCAAACAGGAAGAAGAAATGGTTCAGTGTGAAGGATGGTAAAGGGAAGGAGGGTTGCCGGGGTGACGGGAGGCGGATGGCAGCGAGTTAGTTCTGGCATCAACGCCAGCGTCACGTGAAAGCGCCAGGCTCGGACCCGCCACCCCGCGGTGTGATCCCCACAGAGAGGCAGCCGGCGTCGGCCTCCTGGACTTGGTGCACCCCGGCCGCGGACATCGTTCACAGCGGTGACCACGCGTCCAGGGGGCGCTGGGCACAGAGGACCTCCAAACACGCCGCGTCAGCAGCGAAGGGTCCCCTCCTTCCCACCAGACCCGGCGCTGACGCCCCCTGCTCTGGCCTGGGTGGCACGAGACGGGCAACGCGCTCCGTGAATCCTGTCGCGGCTGAGTCCCCACAGGACGTGACCACTGAGCTTAAAGCATCATTCCAGTTAGCATCGGTCAGTGTCACAGCATGAAGGGAAAGCCAGGATGCCTCAGCGAGGCGATGCCACCGACACGTTCTAGCTGTCGGCCGTAACGCTGGGATGTTTTTAGAATTGTAAGACAGTCTACAGTTAGCATTAAGAGCTACCCCACGTGGACTTCGAAACGATTCCGTCTCAATTCGATACTCGAGAAGCTAAAACGTCCCAGCTCATCGCCTGCTTGAGCTCACCCGCTGAGCTGGGGGCAGAATGGGGTGCCCCTGCAGCAGACGCCCAGCTGTCATTCCCCAACAATTCGTCAGGGCTCCTTTTAGGTGAAAACGGCACTTCCAGTTAACAGGGAGACTGTCACAGAGTCGTTATAACCTTAAGTGACAAAACCGTATTCACTCAACATGCTCTAATGAACGCTGACGAGGGACTAGACACTTGATGAGAACTGCTTTCACATGAGTCTTCTGACAAATGCCACCGGACAGGTCAGATAACGGGACAGTGATTATCGGGGCTGGTCCCCTGCTGGCCTGGACACCCGGGCAAGGGAGCAACCGCCCACCCCGGGGAACCTGCTAAGCCGTTACTCAGGAACAAAACACTAACCTGCCTCCTCAGTTCTTACTTTTTCTGACGGTAAACTGGGCTCTCCACCTCCGATCTTGTTGCTGGCGACCACGCGGAACTCATACTCCACCCAGGGCCTTAACTCGACGACAGTGGCCGTGCGGGTTTTCCCGTCGATGACCTCGGGCACTAGACGGGAGGGGTCGGGGGGTCAGAGTCCGCGTGTGTCGGCACTGACCTGACACCCGCGGGCAGGCACTGTGGCGTCTGCCCGTCGCGTTCACCTGTCGTGGCGGCCTGCCAGCCCACGGAGAAGGGCGTCCTCGCCTGCACCGAGTACCACGTGACCGGGCTGCGGTTGTCTGCGCCTTCTCTCCAGGAGAGCTGGGCCGTGGTGTCTGTGATTTCCTCCACCTTCACGTTCTCCGGGGGTCCTGGGGAGCCTAAGGCGGGCAAGGGTGCAAACGCTGGGGGGCTACTCCCCAAATGGCATCCTCGTCCACCAAAGGGAAGGCTATGTCACATGACTGCCTGAACTCTGCCGACAAGTCCCGACTTCACAGGGCCATTTACCCGGCTTCTCTATCTTTCTGCTGTTGGGTCCCACGTCTGGACGGGAGGCAGAGATTCCAAAATCACAACATGCACGCCTGCAGACGCCAGCTGCGGACGCCACCTGCGGACACCGCCTGCAGATGCCACCTGAGGACACCGCCTGTAGACGCCAGCTGCCGCTGACGCCGCCTGTGGACGCCGCTGGCTTCCTGAGGCCTCTGCTCAGCGGGCCTCTGGCTCCCTAGCGTGGGTCCCTTACTCTGGGCGTGATGCCTGTCCCTGTGAGCTACGGTGTGACTCTGTCATTCCCCATCCCTGTGAGCTGCCGGTGTGATTGTCATTCCTGGTGCGTTACCTGGGGCTGTTTTACCCCGTGATGCACGCTGCTCATTTTCTGGCCCAGCAGCCAATCTGTGTGTTGCACAGCAGCTCGGATTGGCAGATTTTCTTGGGAATTCTGGGTGGTCTGGATTCTTTTGGAAGCAGTCACGCACGCACACGCACGCACACGCACGCACACAGACAGCGCTGTTCTCTCACATGTTAAACACGACCGTGAGTGAATGGCACGCTCAGGGCGCATCGCCCCGGCAGCGGCTGCGGAATGCTGACGGCGAGCGCTGTTTGGAAGGCAGAGCTGAGCACTCCGCTCCCGGGGGTCAGCACCCGCCCGTCATGTTCCCGGGGCGGGGTCCTCAGTCAGCACTAATACCCGCTGTCGCGTCGTGGTTTCCCCGGGCACGGGACGCCCAGGAAACACGTGAGTTAAATCGCGCCCGGGCGTGGGCGTTTACCTCTCACCGTGAGGTTGGCGGCGGACGACACGCTCTCCACCGCGGTCTGCACCACGCACACGTACTCCCCGCTGTGCTTCAGCTGGATGTTTCTGATCATCAGATCGCCAGACGCGCTCTGTGGGACACACGGGCCGTGAACACGCTTCTAGTTTGAACGCTCGGGGTCCCGGCCACACCCCCGTCAGGAGGAACCGGGCGGGAAGACAGGTGGCGGGAGGCTGACCGCGGCCGCAGAAGGGTGTGGGGACAGGGACAAGGCAGCCCCCCCTGGCAGCCACGACTTCGAAAACAAATGGGGGCAGAGATCACGGCCTCAGCGTCCAACCCCCGCCCCGAGGTGGCACTAACTTTCACTCCCACCGCTCAGCACCTCACTGTCCCCCGGTTCCGACCCCTCGCAATGGTCTCCTGAGGAGACGAGGCAGCACCCGGCCCCCCCAGGTCCCTGGGGCCGAGGCAGGCTGGCGCTCAGAGGGCCCGACGCGGCTTCATGCCTTCTTAGAGGACTCAGGGACCGTCGACCCGAACCCCTTGGTAAGCAGAAACTGAAACCTTTTCGATCCTAAAAAGGGCAGCTGCCCATAGACGTTTGCTCCTCCCCTCCGCCCCCCCGCACCAATTTACAGAGCAAACGGCCCTCTTCTTGAAAGATGTGAGGTCCAGTTCATAGGTGCCCGAGGGCTGGTTTCGGCATCCACGGGAATGGGTGGAAATGAGCAATGGGGAGGGCGGGGAGGGGGAGGCAGGGCTCGGGGTGAGGCGTCTGGGAGGGACCAGCTG